TTTCGAAAAATTAAAAACAATTAAATATAATATATATAGAAATTATTTTATATCGTTTGAATAATAACAAAATGAAGTTTGATGTTCTTGCAAATTAGAATAATAAATTACAGCCAACAAAAAATTTTTAAGGTAAAACAAATATAGTGAATACATACATAAAAAAATCTGATGTGATCAGCACATAACCGACGCAATGTCTATTGTCTAGTTAAGCGAAAGTGTTACAGAATATTATAAAAACGTCTGTTAAATGCTTCTTTCCAGTTTTTAGGACATTAGTAAGCTTATATATGTAAATTTGACTCTTAGTAGAGTTTCGCTTTGTGCTACCCGAATTCTCTGAAATGCTCGCCAGTTAGTTTGGGTAATAACCAAAACTTAAACATCAAATTTCAAAAAATTCATCCAGTTAGTTCCACAGATATGGTGAGAAACGTAAAATCGGCCAGCAGATCAGTTTTCCAGCCCTGATCTTTCCAAAAAATTTATATGTTCATTGTTTTAATACGAAGAATTTAAATATCAAATTTTAATCAAATCGGTTGTTTATTTTTCTTTATATACGCAAAAATGTATATTTGGCCCGTAGTAAGTGTCCAGTTGTTGACGCCTGATTTCGTCCAAAAGTTAAGTGGATCCGCGGACAGTCGAACGAGTCTCATATATGAAATTTCAAGTAAATCTGTTGAATGTTTTCTTTATAATGATCAAAACTGTAAAATAGGCCCGCTATCCCAAAAATAGGGGAAATGAATTCCTGCCATACCTGAAATAAATTCGCATATAAAATTTCATCAAAATCGGTTCAGCCGAACTTGAGATACACGCGTGCACACACAGACAGACAGACCCACAGACCAACAGGTTGCTAAAAACAAGTAAAAACATTTCAGTCGGTATAAACCGATTTTTCGGTTTATACCTTATATAAAGCTTTTAGACTTGTATGGGAGCTACACGAACCTGTCAAGCAATTCAACCAAAACTTCAAAAATATATCTGACCTATAACTCGACACACAACTACCAAGTTTCATGAATCTGATTTTATTATTTTTCCGAATATAAAGAATTTGCTTTTGGAGTTGTATGGCAGCCACCCGAACCGGTGCAGTTATCCCATTGAAATTTTTGGAGCATGTGTAGAATACAATTGGACTCACGTATACAAAATTTTATATTCATAGCTTTAAGAGTTTTTGAAGTATGTAAAATAAACCCTCTGAGTTGTATGGCAGCTACACGAAGCTGTTGTCGGAATTAGTCCAATTACAATAGGGTTTTTCCTTGGCACAAAAGAAAAAACTTGTGCAAGTTTGGTAACAATTGCATTATTCGTTTTTGAGTTATCGTGCTATCGGACGGAGGGACGGACGGAGGGACGGACGGAAGGACATGTCTAAATCGACCAATTACAATAGGGTTTTTCCTTGGCACAAAAGAAAAAACTTGTGCAAGTTTGGTGACAATTGCATTATTCGTTTTTGAGTTATCGTGCTATCGGACGGAGGGACGGACGGAGGGAGGGACGGACGGAGGGAGGAACGGAAGGACATGTCTAAATCGACGCAGAATTTTACGCTGAGCAAGAATATATATATATATATGTCCATGGTAGGGAAGTGTAAATAAACTATTTTTAGGAACTAATCGGTCTGTCGAGAACTGCACTTGTTAGCGAGCCTGTTTTACATTTTTGACCATTTTGAAAAAAATATTCAACCGATTTACTTAAAACTTCATTTATAAGTTTCGCTCGATCGTCCGCGAAACCTCCTAACTTTTGGAAGAAATCAGGCATCAGCAACTGGACGTTTACTGCGGGCCAAATATACATTTTTGCGTATATAAAGAGAAATAATCAACCGATTTTATTGAAATTTAATATTTTAATTCCTCGTATTAAATCAATGAACATATCAGGGCTAGAAAACTGATCTGCGGGCCGATTTTATATTTTTCACCACATTTACGGAACGAATTAATTCAATTTCTTGTTATTCTATATTTGAGTTCTGGTTGTTACCGAAACTAACTGACGAGAATTTTATGGAATTCGGGTAGTGCAAATCGAAACTTTACTTATAGCCAAATTTACATTTTTCTAGGTATGTCAACTATAAGCTTACTAATTTCCAAAAAATTGGAAAGAAGTATTTAACAGATATTTTTACAATATTCTGTAACACTTTCACTTAACTAGACAATACACATTGCGGTCGGCTATGTGCTGACCACTTCAGGTTTTTTTTAATCTCTTCGCTTTTAGAAAATGCATATATCAGTTTTGTCAACTTGTACTGGAATAAATTACACAAATGGTTTTGTGCGCCTTTAGAATGCTTAATATATTTTCCTTTACTTTATATACGAGAAAAATGCTTTCGTACGCCTTTAAAAATGCATTATATAAAGATTATAAAAAATACATTATAAGACATCTTTTGCGCACTCTTTCTCCCAAAAACTTCTGTGTGTATAAAAATGAAAAAAAAACTTACTGCTTAACTCCTTCAGCTAAGGAAATTTTTTCAATGCAAATGTTGGTGAGTGATTGCATTAGTGTGATGTAAGCGGAGAGCGAATTACTTATGAAATAGATATACTTTGGTAAAAACTTCCTACATAAACAAATGCATAAATATTAAGATGGCTATATTATGATGTACCAACATTATGGTTGTTTATGTTGAGAGTACATTTTTTACCGACCGTATTGTGTAAACAATAGGTAGGTTATGTGATGGCAACAAATTTTGCATATCGAATTTTCGGTGGGAACGTGCTTCTCCATAGTAGGGAAGTGTAAATAAACTATTTTTAGCAACCTGTCGGTCTGTCGGTCTGTCCGTCTGTCGATCTGTCGGTCTGTGTGTGCACGCGTGTATCTCAAGTTCGGCTGAACCGATTTTGATGAAATTTTATATGTAAGTTTGTTTCCACCATGGCACGGATCGATCAAATTTTGGTATATATCAGGCCTCGGGAACTGCACTTTTTAGCGGGCCTGTTTTATATTTTTGAACATTTTGAAGAAAATATTCAACCGATTTACTTGAAATTTTATATATAAGCTCAGCTCGACCGTCCGCAAAAATTCGTATGTTTTGGAAGAAATCAGGCATCGGCAATTAGACGTTTACTACGGGCCAAATATACATTTTTGTGTATATAAAGAGAAATAATCAACCGATTTCATTGAAATTTAATATATGAATTCCCCGTATTAAAACAATGAACATGTAAATTTTTTGGAAAGATCAGGCATCGGCTATTAGACGTTTACTACGGACCAAACATACACTTTTGTGTATATAAAGAGAAATAATCAACCGATTTCATTGAAATTTAATATATGAATTCCTCATATTAAAGCAATGAACATATAACTTTTTTGGAAAGATCAGGGTTTGAGAACTGATTTGCGGGCCGACTTTACATTTTTCACCATATCTACAGAACAAATTGATGGAATTTCTTGAAATTTGATATTTGAGTTCTGGTTGTTACCGAAACTAACTGGCGAGCATTTCAGGGAATTCGGGTAGCAGAAAGCGAAACTCTACTAAGAGCCAAATTTACATTTTTCTAAGTATGTTAACTATAAGCTTATTATTGTCCTAAAAATTGGAAAAAAGTATTTAACAGACATTTTTATAATATTCTGTAACACTTTCATTTAACTAGACGATACACAATGCGGTCGGTTATGTGCTGACCACATCAGATTTTTTTCTATAAATATGTCTATGATTATACCATATAAGATATTCACGCATCATAAGAATGAAGCAAAATGTTATTGCATTAATACCTATTCTGTACTGTCCGCCATATTTACTGCCACGTGACAAAATATGACGCAACGTTAATTACACTGTTATGCTGATAGTCGTGTTTACTAATATAACCAAGAAAAATTAGTTTAGTCTAAGCATATAAATGTGTTAGGTTGAATAAATATATTAAAAGATGATTTAGCAAACATTTCAACGTAATGCCACACTTATTTATTATCAAATGTATTTTTATTTATTATAATTGCTTATTTTTATGAAACTCAATATATTTATTTTTACACATATACTGATTTTCATTTTGTTATAGATATATTACAAAAAAGGCAGCTTATTTCACTGCATTAAATATCGTTAACTAATCAATCATAATAATATTTTGTTAATTGTTATAAAGTGTGAAATGGAAGATTTCATTACTCGCAAAAACGTTTTATCTTATCAGCCTGAACAATCACTCATCTTTAACATTGCCCTTTCAAACTGCTCGGTGATTCAAAAACGGTATGCAACTATATATATCATTCTTTAGAAGATCTAAAATGTGTAAAACCTCTATTCCGGAAAAAAGGCCAATTCTCAATTATTTTTGAAATATAACTACTTTAAGTTTTTACTTGCTCTTATTATTTTACTTATGGTTTAGAATCTAAGAAAAAAGGGGCTTCAGCAACATTTTTTTTTTCGAAGATCTTATTGAGGGCTTCAAGAATGAACAAATCTAGTCTCCTTTTGTTTTCGGAATAGTCAGCATTTGTTATTTAGCTAATTATGAAATTCTGTACAATTTTGTTCCTTTCCTTTGTCAAAATTGAGTTAATAAGGTGCCTATAAAATCTTCGACCAGATTTTAAACATATAAAAACCACAAATTTCTTAAGCTAATAATAAATTAATTTGTGATATAATGTGTGATATACGTAAATATACACTAAATCGTATTTATAACGTACATATGTAATATAATAATGAATACTGAAATGGAAACAAGTAAATAATAGTGTCTAACAAATCATTTAATATAATGATTTGGTGCACCTTTCTTGATGACACATATTGAAAAGAAATATTTTATTAAACAAGTGCGTTGACTGATGGAAAAATATTTTTAGCATCGTATATATGGTTGCAAACCTTTCTGAATCACATACATATATAAATATAAGTTAATTATCAACAAACAAATAAATTTAAAATATACTTAGACAATGAACTACTGGGCTTTCATCTAAACGTTTCCGGCATACAGTACAAAATTTCCTCTTGCAATGTGATGGCTCTGACCAACAATGAGCTACGGGATTCTGAAATAAGAGAAACATTGAGTTTGTGCATATGAAGCAAAAGTATCTTAATTAAAGTTATTGAATTAAATATTTTATTTATTTAAATGAAAGTTATATCAATAACTATATTTTAAATGTCGTTTATGGTTTAAAATTTATGAAAAAATAATTTTATGTAGTGCAGTATAACGATAGCTAAGTCAACGAATTTTGATAAATTAATTTTTAATATTAAATAAATTAGTTTAAGTTTTTCTATATTAAATAGATGGTAAAATTTAACTTATTTCATTTAAAGCATTTTTAAATTTTGATTCATAATTCGGATGAACCCGATGTTTTGGGGTCCGACTTCTACATTCAAATATATTTAGAAACCATAGACAGCAACTCGATTTAAAACTAATTTTGAGCTTTTATCTTCAAATAACTCATGCCCCAGGTTTTGCGGATCTCTATACGGATTTTGAAGATTTCCAAAAAAATGATGAAAGTTCGTGTAACAAAATTAGGTAAATGGTAATGTAAGGTTTAAGCAAGTTCACATAATGTTGTTAATATAATTTCAAACATTACGGTACGTTTTTAGTATAGACACGTTTCCTACATCCAGTTTTAATGAAAAGTGAAATCTTATTTTAGAAATTAATATTAAAAATTAATTTCGTATTATCCACCTCTCACTTCGAAAAATTCTGTAATAGATAAGATAATTACTAGTGACCCTAATTTAAACAAATTAAGACTTAATTTACATGAGACCTACATAAATAAATACATCAATAAAGGAGGGCAAATTTTGAATTTCTTTAAGCAATAAGTCTTTGACTCCCAAAATATAAAAAGTCATATCCATATATGTTGCCTTATAGTTTTGTTATGTAGCCTCTGTATTATGCGTACGAATTGTTTATTAAACATGTGCGCGATTGATGTAGATATATATGTTTTTTCCTGTAATATATGAGGTGCACAAGTTCTACGATTTTGCAAGAGTTCAAAAAATATAAATTTGTGTTCACATCATATTTTTTTATACGTATGTTCGTACGGGTCTGTCCGTCCGGCCCAACGATAACTCAAAAACTAATTGAGCTAAGTTCACAAAATTTTCACAAATGATTTATTGTAATAAGTGCCAGAACGCTATTTAAATTGGATATGATCGAGGTACCAGTTCGGGTAGCTGCCATACAACTTCAAAATTTATTTGGCTATATCTCAGAAACTATAAAAGCTAAGGTACTGAAATTTCACACAAGCGAATATATTAGTAGGGTTAATGTGTCTGATAAAAATCGTTGAAATTAATTCTTCTTCTGGTACCTGCCATACAACTTCAAAAGTAATTGATCCAATTGAGGAAAATGGAGTGTTACCTTATTTGGACATACTGGTGAAAAGAAAATCTGAAAAAATTGGATTCAAGATATATAAGGAAGAAAACAACAACACAAAGATGCATTCCAAAAGATTCGTACCATTCAACGAAACATAAAATGGCGGCGTTAAACTCTATGATCCATAGAATGCTAACCACACCGATGGACAGACACGACTATAGATCAGAAGTAAACTTCATTTTGGACACGGCTGTGAAGAACGGTTATTCTACTGAACGTATTAACAAACTCATTAGGAAGAAAAAACGAAAAATTGAACAGGAGAATATGATCACATTGTTTAAACAGAACAGTATATTGGAAGAACAAAGAACAACATCGGCATCTTTGAGTTAAGATCATCACTGTACAAACTTGATAAATAAACAACTAAGGAAACACAATATTCGGACATCGGAAACCAATAGTAAATATCAACTTAGGAGTTTGTTAAATTCGGCTAAGGATAAATTGAAGATACATGAAAGATGCGGTGTGTACAAAATCAATTGTAATAATTGCGATAAAGTTTACATAGGACAAGCGAAGAGACCCGTTACAACAAGACTTAAGGGATATTTAAGTGAAATAAAAATGCAAGGAGAGTAAGATTTAACCGGATTTTCGATTCTATGGTTGCAAAACACATTTATGAAACGGATCACACAATCGCGGAAGGTATTGAAAGAGGTAAAAGGAAAACACAGGAGAGAAGTTCATGAAACCATGCAGATATACAAATAAAACAAGGACTGCCTACTGAACACGGATGAAGGTAACGCGGCTACTTGGCTCTTTAAATTAATTATTTGAACAGCTTTAAGGTTTAAAAAAAAAATAAATAAATAATCAAATTCTAGATTAAGTCAGGTAGATAATTATATTAAGTCAGGCATAATATTCCTAATTTTAATAGATTTCAATTTTTATTGTTTGTTGTCTTAATTAGAAGAAAATCAGCTTTGATAAAGTGCGTATGTAGGGCAGGAAATATATTAGCAAAAAAAAAAAAAAAAAATATTTTATTCCGAAAAAAAGGAAATTTTCTTTTCGTTGAAATTACTTGGCTCCTTCTGGCACCTACCATACAACTTCAAGAGTTATTTTACTACATTTTAGATACTATTAAGGCTATGGTATTGAAATTTCACACAAGCAAATATATCAAATATAAAATATATTAGTAGGGCCGATGTGCTTGATAAAATTCATTAAAATTTCTTGGCTCTTTCTGGTAGCTGCCATACAACTTCAATAGTAGTTTGACACACACAGTATTTTGAAAAAACATAGTACTGAAATTTTGCATAAATTAATATGGTAATACGGCAACTTAAAGTCATAGTCTGTCTCATAGTCAGTTATGGTATCTTTATTCCCACATAGGATAACAAATTCGTACGGGTATCACAGAATTGACAAGGTCAACTCTATTTTTTCTCGTTTTGTTATAAAAATGATTATTATGTTAATTTACATAATGAATTTAATGTAGAAAGAAAAATTTAAAAACTAAATCAAATTGTCGTTAACTCGCCAAATAAAAAAATTTATATCCATATACTGGTCCAGCAATAGTCAATGTAGTTGATTTCAAATGATCTTGAGTTTAACATCACAAAATATAAAAATCTAACAGCTCTGTACGGCTTATCGTTTTGCTTTAGAATCTGTAGAATGTTCGTAAGTAACATGTTTAGTATGAAGCTCCGCAAAAATACATTAATATTGAAGTCAACCTACACATGTTATAAATGCCCGTACTACTACAGTATAGATATTTTTATACCATCCTTGGGAAGAGTAATGTATTTCCAAAAAGAAAAGCAAAATCTTATATAATACACAAATTATTATAGCGAGACTTACGGCTAAAATAAATAACGTACACAAAGAGAATACAGAAAAAACATGACAAACAAGAATAATAATGCTCAATTTTCATATATAAAAATTTTCTGTACATCGTATTCCAAAAATCTTATGGAATGAAGAGTACACAGATTTGGCCCACAAATTGAATAAGGCTGGTACGCAGTAAAATTTTTAAATATTATTCATCCTCAATTTGTATTGTTATAAAAATGTAATTAAAAATTTTCTTTAAGCTAAATCAAATCAGACAGAAAATATAATTCATAATACATTATATATATATAGCTGCTTATATACTAATTCATTATATATATATAGCTACTATACTATAGAAAAACAAACCGAGAAATAAATAATATTTGAAAATATAATGATCTTACATATTTTTGGTTCTGTTTTGAATATTATGTTTTAACGTAAATAAATGTCAGCTTTTACCAAAGACATCAGATGTTTTGTGGCATCTGAATATTAATGCTTCATTTGTTATTGTTTTGAATATTATGTTTCATCAGCAAGCCTTAAAAAAATATACATACACAATTATGTACGTATGTATCTACCTAAAATTTTACTTTTATTGTTCGAGTGAAAAACTGTAAAATGCTAAATTCTAATCCATTCATATATACATACATACATATATTCATATAAACATACATACATATATTTGAATAAAATTATTATTTTGTTTTTGGCTAAACCTTTTCTTTATTTGGAAAATTCAATCCTATATGCTCACTTACAGTTTTAAAAAAACAGGTATCCATTCATAATTATGTATGTTTGCATTAACAATCATATTTCTAATTGTCCCAACAGCATATTTCAAAATTTTCGATTCTAATACATTCATATGTATATACGTTCATATGTTGGAACGAAAAATCTTAAAATCTTCAATTCTGAAACATTCATATATACATACATATATATATTCATATATACATACATACATATATTTTAATAAAATAATTATTTTGTTTTTGACTAAACCTTTTCTTTATTTGGAAAATTCAATCCTATATGTTCACTCACAGTTTTAAAAAAACAGGTATCCATTCATAATTATGTATGTTTGTATTTATAATTATATTTCTAGTTATTGTCCCAACAGCAAAATTTCAAAATTTTCGATTCTAATACATTCATATGTACATACATACGTTCATATGTTGGAACGAAAAATTTTAAAATCTTCAATTCTAATCCATTCATATATACATACACACATATATTCATATATACATACATACATATATTTTTACATACATAAATTATTATTTTGTTTTTGACTAAACCTTTTCTTTATTTGGAAAATTCAATCCTATATGTTTACCCACAGTTTAAAAAAAACAGGTATCCATACATAATTATGTATGTTTGCATTTATAATTTTATTTCTAATTGTTCCAACAGCAAAATTTCAAAATTTTCGATTCTAATACATTCATATGTACATACATACGTTCATATGTTGGAACGAAAAATTTTAAAATCTTCAATTCTAATCCATTCATATATACATACTTACATATATTCCTATATACAAACATACATATATTTTAATAAAACTATTATTTTGTTTTTGACTAAACCTTTTCTTTATTTGGAAAATTCAATCCTATATGTTCACCCACAGTTTTAAAAACACAGGCATCCATTCATAATTATGTATGTTTGCATTCGTAATTTTATTTCTAATTGTTCCAACAGCAAAATTTCAAAATTTTCGATTCTAATACATTCATATGTACATAGAT